CTGGTTGATCTGCAAGTGGGGCAAAAAGTCAACAGGCGGCTTCGAGATATATTTTGATGTCGTACCCCTTGAGAAATCCCCAAGATTTCTGATCATTTTTCAGCAAGTACCAACAACGAACGGAATGCTGCTAGAAATCGTGCTCAGCTTGTCAGTGTTGAGAATGCCAAGCACTTTCAAGAAAAAATCCATGATCGTTGTATGATCCTCATATATCCCAAGTCTCCACAGGGATTCCCCTGTGTGGGAACTTGACTTATCCTGGGGTGCTGGCGGGCTTGCTTCTCAAGAGGGATAGTTCGCTTGGTCGCGGTGACAAGAAACCCTTGAGCCTGTTGAGTCTATCCATTTTATAAAAGCCGGCATCTAGTAACATTTCCATTCCCAGTACTACTTGTTCTGCTCTTCTAGGGCCTTCTCTGAGCACGAGCTTCAACTTCCAAAATATCAAGCACAATCACGAAAATGGACAACTCGAGAAAAGTGCTCGAACAGAGCACTAGGAAAGCTGAAGAACTTGCATGATCATGAATTTCAGCATCATCTACAAAAATGAGAAACTGGACGAGACCCAACTCCCGGCCATCCGCAACAAGAGACCGACCACCCAAGAGATGCAAGCACCATGACTATTACTACCCTTCTTTTGGCAGCTCCATAAATGTGGGGACCCGAATAGAGATTCCCCATACTCTTTATTATAGAGCCCCCAAAATGGTACCCGGGTACCCGTGATTTACGCAAACCCTAAACCCTACATATCCCTATATTTCACTCCTGTGATATCCCTACAAATCCCGTAATTTCCCTAGAAAGCCCTTATATCCCCTCTAAAGCTACCCCGACGAATAACCTTAAGCTCCAGGAAGCCTCTTAGGTTGGAGCAGGGTGCACGGATCGGCTTCCAGCGTTCCCCGAGGTCGAGGCCTGGGTGCCAAAGCCAGCTCTCAAGGATTTCTGTGGGAGGAAAGTCCCGGCTTTTGCGGGATGCATGGGAAAGACATAGGGGGTACCAGACCATGATAATCCATAACATAGAGAGCACAAGGAGGGGCGCAAAGCAATTATAAAGGGAAGGCATGGGATTGCGAAGCGTCTAGGGCTTGGGTGGTTCGAATTAAAGCTGTTGAGTCAACGCGGGTAGACAGATTGAACAGCAATCTGCAAGTTGAAGGGATGAGAAGGGATTCCCCTTTTTGACATCGCATTGGAATCGCTGAGTTCCAGGCACTGGGCCATGAAGAATCTCGAACAAAGAGCCACCAAAGACCTCGCAGGTTCTGGACACATGTGGCAACTCTTGCTGCTTGCCTAGAGGTGAGTTGCCTAGGCATCCTGGGCATCCGCCACAATCCAACCCGTTTCCTCTGATCCTGCTCGTTTCCCATCCGGCGGCTGTCACTCACTACTGCTCCTCTTTTATACATTGCACTTTAGTAACCAGTGCCACCACCACCAGGCATCGGGCCATCTCTGTGAGGATGCTCAGCGCAGGGGGCGTCCGGCACACCGCCATCAGCGTCACGACCTGGAAGGTGTCTTTTTAGGGGTCCTCTCGAAAATGCCAGGACTAATTATGCGTAAGAAACACGCTCAAAAAATTCCGCAGTTTCGGCTGACAGCGCCGTACAGGATTTGTGATAGTGCCGCATAACGATGCGCCTGGCGGTGATCTTGGTGTTAAGTTTAGGGTGTTGTACAAGCCTTGGGGACTGCAGTTTCAAATTGCTGCGGCTGTTGCCGCTGGTGCTGGACTGGTCCTTGTTGACACCGTTGCAATCATCTTGTGGCGCATATGGCTGTTGGCACATGTTGTGCTATCCTCACGACTCTTGTTGCTGTTCATCCTCGAAATCTCATACCGTTCCTCGTTTTTTGCAGCTCCTGCATTGGCAGGTTGCGCGCAGGCGGGCGGAATGAGCCCAGAGCACAGAAGAGAGAAGAGGATCATTATTCATTACTCAATTACTCCCAGCTGGCTCGATGAACACGAGACATCTTTTGGCATGATTTACACTTTAACATAGTTCAAAATTCGCATAGACTTTTCACAGAGTGCGAGGTTCACCTTGTTCGAGCTTACTTGGCTTCAATCCGACTCGGCCAGGTATCTGCACCAGGAAACGGAAAGTGGATCTCGGTGCTAGCCAAGATACTTGCGGAAGCTCTAGCTGTACTGCGTTCCTACCCCTGCTTGCTAAGCTACAGGCGTTTGGGTGCCGCAAGCGGCGAAGCATCTGCACCTTCCCAGGGTGTGCAGCTGTTGGAGTCTCGATCGCATGCCAACCATCTTCTTGAGATGCTTCACACATAGCGACACTCTTGGCCTCGTTCTCGAACTCTGCTTTGAGTTCTTCCTCGCATGCTTGCACATCTGGAAGGTCCAGTATCAGGAACAGAGACATCATAGAGACTTCAGCAAGAAACGCATAAAGTCGGCTTAAGCTCCGTCAGAACGGGGTCAAAGATCTTCTTCAAGGCGCATGGTGTGCACATCCAGGTCGCATGATGCCTGGGAGGGGCATGGGTCACATAACTCAGGTCCGCACATCTCCCTCTAGCCGTTAAATGCACGTTGCTTGCATGTATGTTCCGGATCTTGTCCGCGCAAGGACCCCCTCAAATGAGACACTGAACCAGATGAACCAAGGAAAAAAACTCAAGCTCAATGAAAACTTATCGTTCGCGCCAAGGTCTGCACACGGAAGAGAAGCCACCTTGAGCAATCATGCCGCCCACCGCCACCTGAACCGACGTTTTGGTAGTTTGTTGGTTCAGGGCTGGCCAGGGTATGCCTTAACTAGGAGTTTCACAATTATGATTGAGAGGACCGAACGAAGCCTGCGGATGGTTGCGCCAAATTGCGTCGTTATTGTGACAAATCTGTCCCTTGACGCCACAAATGCATGATTTGCAGTTTACATCAATCGCGGCTGCCTCTTCCAGGGCAAACTTGGGAAGCCCATCATCGTGCGCCTGCATGGAGAGGCCCCCCCATTCTTTTGGCATGATCTTATGAATCATGAGAAGCAATTTTGGGGTGATAAGGAAGGACATCAGTATTCTGCATGGCACGCGGGGGGATCCTGAGGTTGAGAACCCTTCCACTTGAGTGAGAAAAGCCCAGCTCAGCATCGAGCGGAATACATCTCGGACTCTTGCAATCGCTGCGAAAGCCTTTGCACTTCCTGGTGCCAGAACAAATTTGGGCAGGCTTACTGCAATGTGGGCTACATAGGGGTTTACCGGCAGTTTGCGGACGTCGCCGAAGTCAATGGTGGGAAAGTTATATAAGAAAACGGATTAGAATATGAACCCCGCTGTGGGGATCCGTATCATAATGAATTTAAGAAAATCTCCATGCTTGCATAGTCCAGGAGCTCCTCAAAGATATGGGTTTCCCCTTTTTAGAGGACGCGTTGTCCTCATTTGGAGGAATGCCTGGAGAGCACAACCCTGCATTCGACCCATGCTAGTCAAACAGATCCTGGGCAAAAGACTTGCCGGCCAAAGACAGAGCTCGGACAGCCAGACCGCCATGAGGGCGCCATGTGCAGGGCAACCCCCAGATGCCGCAGCAGTCCTGCTGCAGGCGCTTCACTTTCCGGGGATCTTCCGCACCACTCCTGCTGTGAGCATGGACAGCTTGCATAGATGGCAGTTTGCCAACATTGGAATCTGCCCGAAATGCCCCCAAATCTTACAACTCTGATGAACCACCGAAATGAAGCCAAGTCAATCGATACCCGAAATCTTGGAACGTCGGGGCAGGTATACTGCATACTCTAACGGAGGCATCTGTACTCTACTCGCACTTGCACGCAGAACTTCAAGAAAACTCCAAGCTACAGCTACACTTCATTCTGCGCTGGCGAATCGTCAAAGTACTGGCCCATACGGGTGGGTGTCTCTCAAAGTGTGGGATCTTTTACAAGACCTTGGGAATACACATTGCTCTGAAACGCTTAACTTGAAACTCTTGCCTTTTGCCCGGCAGGATGTACCCCGTGCCTGCTGACCTCTGCGAAACCCTAGCTCATAAACTCCAAGTATCTCTAAGTTAGGTACTGTAATCCCCATACAAATCCAGAAACAGGCCCCGATCCGATATCAGCAGCCCCAGGTCCCTAAAAAATGGCTCAGTGTCGGACACGGCGTCGCCCTCCGATGCCACGCCGCCCGGACTAGCAACGGGTCTTGCCTTGGCGCCAGAAGCTTGCGGGGTTTCCACGCGATCAAAGGGTTAGGGCTGAGGGTGCGCTTAGGACATTTTAGAGTTTAGGATAGGTCGGGAGCCGGGGATCTCCAGTACGGTGGCATTTGCAAATAACCAAGTAAATGAGCATGGATGCAGCAGTCCCGCGTCTTCTGACTGCATACACCTATTGACCATAACAATGGGGGATATGCAAGGTGCATGTTTTTGCAGTGCCCTGAAAGTAGGCCCGAGTCAACTGAAGAATGGCTGGTCAACATTTCGCTACGCCGGAATAGTTATCAACAGTCGAGCATGAAACACCATTTAAGCCCTGCACTCAAGACTATGGTCAGCTGCCCACTAGACCTGTACGAGCTCAACAATCTTCTTGCAAGGGGATTGCATTTCTATTCGCTACTGCCAAGACTCGTTCGGTTCAGTCCTCATTATGGCACACCTTCTCCTGTCCCCACCCTCCCATGTCGCAAAAACCTATCAGCCCCATCAGAAGGCATAGAATAAAAGCAGACGTAAGGATTCCAAAGCCACAATGACCCTGTCTATGACCATGACAGCCGCAACTCTTCTCAAATGGATGGTGACAGAGGCATAATTTAGGGAGCCGCATCCCTGTGGCAGACAGCTTTTTTGTCCAGGTGAGGTGTCTCTCCAAGCTGAGCACCCGTTCGCACATCCATGGCGACTCCTCTGAGAGGTATGTCATAACTGGCTCAGCATTTTAGGGACCGAGCTCCCCTGCGGGTCTAATCTTCGTCATGCTCTGGTCCACATGATGTGCAAGCTAGTAGAGACTCACCTCACTTTGCATGACACGGTGAAGATACTTGCTTGGGTTTTTGTGAGCGCCGTTTTTTGATGCAGCCAAGTAGCTTTCTTGTTTTTGGGCCCTGGCAAGTTCTGCATGACCTGCATGTGGTCAAGGACTGTCATGCCCTTCTCGACGTCTCCCTCCAGGGCCGTCTGGGGATCCTGGCAGCGAGACAACAACCGCTGATCGCTGTCGGTTTGAGTCGCTGAGCCTCACCTCAATGTCGGTCAGACCATGCAAGTAACAGACTGCCAGCCCCAAAAGCTTTTGTAAGCCTGCTCTCCCCGGTAATCTTGATTCAGCAGGTCCTGGCCTGGAGATCTTTGGCTAAGAGCCTGCCATCCTCCATGGACACTGCCGTGAACGCGACGGTGTCACCCGGCTGGAATTCAGCTCTCTGAGAGTGGTGTACAAAAACATCGCCTCGAGAAGGATGCCCCTCCCACAACAATTAAATTAAGCCCGCTCTGGAGAATTATTCTGCCCAAAATATTGGGATCCTTGTTCTATATAATCCCTATATAAACCCTATATACTATAGTAGTTTCCATTTTATTTTCCATTATCCCAATATAAACCCCAATATATTCCCTTGTTCTAGTGACCCTTGAGAAGGGACTCCAACCCTTGGCCTGGGTATCCTTACCCTAAACCCTAAACCCTAAACCCTTGGCCTGGGTATCCTTGCACCCTCAGCTGGTCGCAGCTGATGAAGCCAAAGCCCCGCTCAAAGTTGAAAGTCTTGAACTCCCCGATGAAGATGCCCAGCTCTTCCTCAGAGAAAAAGGATCCCTTATATATACCCTATGATCCCTATATATAACCCATTATAGTAGTTTCCATTTTCTTTTCCATTATCCCAATATAACCCCAATAGAACCCCAATATGATTTTTATCCCTTTGTCAATTGCAGGATATGTAAAGCACGAGTTTCAAGTTCAAAGAGAACCGCCTTACCGCTGACCAAGCAAAAATCAAGCCCCTGCTTCCTGAGAACTTCACAAGCCAAGCACTACTCGGTACTCCAAATCTGGCCCAGCTGCAGGTAAACCTCCGGCTGACCCCACCTGTCCAGTGGCGTCTTGGACGTCCTTTCCCTGGAGCTTGCCCCGGTACAGGTACGCCTGAAACTTCACCTCTGAACCCACCGGAAAGCCTTCGCAACCATTCCCATGCACGTATACATCGCTGTAGTAATAATCCTTCAAAGGCTTGCACATAATGAAGCCAAAGCCCTTCTGCCCGTCATAGGCTTTGACGAAGCCGAAATACTCTCCGAGCTCTTCGGTTTCCATGGCCTTGGCCGCCTCTGCTCCGACATCTTTGGCCGGACCCGAATATTCCTCCATCCTTACTGTGCCGCCTTTCGTGCTGTAAACTCTCCGTGGCACCACCACACCTGCACCGGCTGCTGGCGTTGCCGAGCTAGCGGCCGCAGGATTCGCGGCACCGGCAGGAAAGGAAGGGAAGGAAGGAAAGGAGGGGGACGCTGGTGCTCCCATTGATCTGGACATGAAATTTGGAGCAGTTGGCGGGTCCGTTTGCAAGTCGAGTGCTTGTGGCTCGGACTGCTCATTTAGTGTCACTGCAAAGCTGACCTTCTGACCCTCTTTAAATCCGCGTATGTGCTCCGGTGCCACGCATACATCACATTCAAAAACTGTCCGAAGTTCAGGGCAACGAATGAAACTCATATCCTTTATGCCCTTTCCGACAGTCAGAACGACGCCATTACACCTCCTTTGCGTCACAGCTTTGGCTGGTGCATAGGTCAGCTCGGGGCAGGCAAAGGTCACAAGACCAGGTGCTAACTCAGGCTTGTTCTGCAACAGCTCGCCGATGATGAAATGGAGGGTGTCGTCGTCCAGTGACACCAGGAGGTCAAGGACCATTTTGGAATCCATGGTGTCTGGGTCCTCTTTGCATCTACGACTGAAACTAAGCTAAACCAAGTTCTTGATCCAATAAACTCTCCTGGTCAGCAGAACAAGTTCCTGGTGCCAGGCAAGCAAGCAGGATGAGGCCCAATCTTTCATCATCTCCTACTTTCTGCATGCTCTGAGGACAAAATTGTTTTTGGATGGGTTTGGGATGTAACTAGGAGCTAAGCTGCCTTGACCTTCGTCATGCTTGTTCGGGCTCATGCGAAGAACGACCAACTGGGTCACAAGCATGCATACCTACCCCTCATGGTACGGTACGTACCGGGGAACAATGCTATCGTAGCTTCATCTGCAGGAAGGCGGCCGTCGACTTTTTGCAAGAACGAGGAACAAAGCACATAGATTCTCATGATCGTGTGGACAAAATCTTTCAGCCTGGCTGACATTTGCAAACCGTGTGCCAATTTGTTCCACCTCATAGGCAATTTCCAACGATGCAAGCTTCCCACTTAAAATGGACCATGTCCTGCATCTTAGGCAGGGACCCGACGGCCGCCTCGAGACGGCGCATCCGTATCTGGCCTCCGCGAGGTGATCCTACTAGGACAACTGCTGAAAGTATTGACTGCGACGGAAACTACAAAAACTAGTACTACCAGTAGCTTAGTACACCTGCACATCAACAGTTCAACAGCGTGTACTGACTGAGAACTCAGCGACCCTGAGCTTGGCAGTTGGACCTCCGCAGGTTTGAGCATGAAGTGACTAGTTGTGTAAGTTCGAACTTGGGAGATTGTGGAAGGCTCCTTACCCATGCTCTAACCACCTGAGAACACGCCTGTCTTGGCCAGGGGGAGTATGCCGAGACCTTTAGAACATTTTTAACAAGGCCGTGGACGATGAAATTGGGCAGCCCGCGTCACATGCAACGTCCTAGAAGCATGAAGCAGGCAATTGAAGAAGTGTGTTGTCAACTGCATGCAGCTTCTCCATATACCTGAGGATGCAACATCTCTGTTGCGCGCGCTCTTGCCGTCATGCTGCAACCTCACTCGACAGCTATTGAATGGGACCAAGAAGGTACCGATTCAACACATCCTGGCAATCCTTTGCGTGAAGCAAAAAGGGAAGGGAGTCCAACGAGCCATCCAGTTTGATCCATAGACAAGGCTTGCAAAACAATGACCATGAGGTTCCAGGGTCTCCTCTCCCCAGACCCTACACCGCAATCACTGTCCAGTCAAAACTTGTGCAAGGCGCACGCAGCAACGGATTTGAAAGGGGCGTAGGGCCTCTCTGCGGGGTGCTATAAGAGGCGAGACTACCCCAAGAATCAGAAACCACGACTAAACAGGAGAAACAGTAGCATCGGGCTCATGGGTAGTCACAGGCGGGTTTACGAGTGAGCATTGTTTTTTTTTAAGGTTAAAGTCCTTATAATACTAAGATTGACTGCCTGCGAGAACTACGCGGATGGCTGCTTTCCCTGCAGAACAGACTACGCGAACACTCTCTTACTATCGTGCTACGCGGGCTATAGCAGAATCTATGCAGCA